GGCTGCTGATAGCCATTTAAGGTGGGGGGAGGGTTATATAAAGCGGGGCACGAGTCGAGCAAAGCCTGTACGGGACAAAGTAGGCGGTGTCGGGCGAACGCCCCCCGCGGGTCCCGGACGAGTGCCTTGGAAAACCAAGGGCGCGGGGAGCTGCCGCACGGTTATACTGACGAATATACTTCACGAAGTGCCTTCGCATTTGTTGTGATTATATCGAGAATAGCCTGCCGTAAAGGATGTAAAATTAATAAGCCTTTATAAGGGAGAAATTAAATTCGTAATAATTTAAAAATAAACTCCAAATAATTCTCGTAGCGTCTTTCGTTGGACGGGGAACCAAGCATCCTAGAATAAGCAGGTGCGTGGTTATCTGTGCCACACGTATCAACTAACAAATACTCTTTCGAAAAAGTGAATAATCAAAACAAACTAAACGTAAAGTATAACATGAACCGTTCCCTTAACATCGCGCATCTTTCACGAAGGGAGCGCGGGGAGCCCCGCCGCACGAATCTACTGACAAATATACTTCACGAAGTGGTTGTGCACTTTTGATTTTGCTAAAATACCTATTTGCCACTTGGAAAACAAAACAAAAGAAAGCATAGATCATAGATAATATACCGCATGTGGATACGTTTGGAGCACTAAAGTGATTTTTTTTATTAAATGTCACTTTAGTGAAGAAAACGGGTAGTCTACTTTTAGAATGTAAATTTTGTTATATTATTGAAAACACTAAAGTAACACCTCAAAAAGCCTCTGGAGAAATAAACTACCACCCACACCTTTTTGCTTATGGAGGTTTATGGGTATTCATGTGTTTTATGCTCAAAAACCTAAAACGCCTTAAGCAAAAATTTTTACGAAAACAAATATTTAATATTTGTAATAATTGTGAAGTTTTTATATGTACTATCCGCAATTAATCGTAAAGCTTACTCTGTTTAGGCCGAATGTTTATAATGTGGCCAAGCGCATCGTCGTATCGTAAAGCCGGCTGGCAAAATAATATGCCGTGGCTAAACTGAGTGGAACCCAACGCGCAGGCAGTGTAGGCAAATTATTACAAGTCGAGTGCTACTCCCTATTATGTCTGCCAAGCCTATCTATATGCAAGCGCCAATGTAACAAGGGAATAATGCTTGGTTTACATCAAGCCAGCCACGTTCAAAGTCAGCACTGACATAATACACTGGCATAATATAGACACCCACTGTAATCAGTAAGTGTTCTACTTTTCAGCCCAGTTCGGCTATTACGCCGCAACTGGCATAATGTAGACGGCCTTTTTTATGCCAGTCCAGTTCTGACTGAAAAATTGTGGTCGTTTGCCACATTGATATAAAAAAAGGTTCAACTCCCGTTCTCCGGATTTAAATGCGCTGGATTTTTTTACAGGGGCTGCCGAAAAGAAAAGTATGCTAAGCAAGACTTGACAACTTGATATCTTTTATAAAATATCACACTGTAAAATTTTTAACCCACAATTATATTTGTGAATAGTCCAATGGTCCTAAATCAGTAACTTTTGTCAGAGATAATGACAAGAATATGTTTTATCAAGAAACCAAAATTAGTAAATTGGAAAACGTTCTTGGAAACTAATAATAACTCTAATACTTTTTTCAGGTTTTATCAGTGTTATAGCATTTAATAATCTTGATGAGTTGCTCTAAATTATGTACATACTTTACATGTCGTGGTAGTTTCACACAGTAGCATGTCGAAAGTTAAAATACTCTAAAATATTTATATCAAAATATTTTCTTTTTTCTACTTAAAGTACGGATGTTTGGTAAGGTAAAAACAAAAAATAATGTGCCTAAAAAAAAGACTATTTTTTCTCACATAGTTGTTGACCTGGCCAATGCACCATATTAACTGCTTGTCATTGAATATTGGGACGCGTTGTATATTTGTATTATATCTAATGTTAGACTCTTAATTTAGTGAATTTGACGAAGAGGGAACATACATTGGACCTCTATCGAATGAAAGTAGGCAGCGCATCTGGAATTGCGGGCTATGGGCAGCAGTCGCTTTGCTATTTTGGTGAATTCAGGTGGCCTTTAATATAATATGATTAAAGGTCCAATTTCATTGCCACCATTTTCTGTGGATGGAAATCCACTCGATTTACTTACTGGGTATGTCTCAAAGACGGTCTATTCAAAACCACTGGCGAGAACTGACGAACTCCGTCTAAGAAACTCAGATGCTGCAGAAGAGATAAACCTACGGGGATATTAGTAAATATGTAGTTAAAAGATCCTAAATCTGTAACCGAAAACCCAGTTTTAAACACTTAATAAAATTCTTAATATCTAAGCAAAATGATCACTGTTAGTTTTTAATAATTAAGTTCTTAGAATTTTTGCAGGTTTTATCACAGTATTGTAGCATTTTATTATCTTGGTGAAGTTGCGCCTACTTTTGTAATTTAGTGCCGTGGTACTCTTTATACATTTTTTTACACAGTAGCATGTCAAAGTTGGTTAAAAATTCAAATGTTCTAAAATTAAAAAAAAAGTCAAAGTTAATTATTTTCTGTGCTTAATGCAGGAATGTTATCGTGCAATTTTTCTCTTCAAAAAGAGTTGGATTTTTTCTAGCATATTTCCCCGTGTAGTTTTGATCTGGCTATACACCATTACAGTTTTATCGATGAATTTTAGGACACGCTGTATATTACTGATATTATTATTGTAAGAGTTTGTTTGCGTGTCTTTGCGCTACCACTGTATTTAAATGAGCTGTCGCCCGCGTCTCCGTTCGCGAGAAATTAATAAAAAAAAAACTTGATTAGTGTAGCTCTTGTGTTCTTCCAGGCCCAATCATCATATTTAAATCTTTTCCAAATATCAGAAAGATCCATGCATCCATTGTGGAGATCCGCCTTCTAACAAACATCCATCCATATAAACTTTATGAGTAAGACATGAACATTAAATTAAAAAAGATGTGTACCTATTAAATTTACAAAAATATGTGACTTAATTTCATTTATTAACTATCATATTTCAATGAATACAAAATTAAATAAATTGTAGGTCCATCTAGGAAGCTTGTATCACACACTCAGCACTCACTTATACTTGTGTGTGTCACGTAACAAGTATTTTATATGTCCTGTTATTTTCATTGCAATTACCACGCACCACTCTTAGTACACGTTGTCCTGTAAAATGAACAGTCCTGTAAAATGGACTACTATAGATTCTTTAGGTTTAAAAATAAAAATGTCATGGTGTCGCAGTTACAGTTAATAAATTAATTTAAAAAATACTGTTTTGTGACACAGCTGCCAAATTAAAATTTTCTATGCAAAAAAAAATTACATAATACGTGCTGTTGCGAAATTATGTTAAGTATTGTTTGGATATGTGGTTCTCGCTGTTAACTTTGTTGACTAAAGGTTTGTCCTTCAAAAAGGGATGTAGTTTATCAACGAAAAACTGAGTTCAATATGAATAAACTGAGATATTTGAATAAATGTAAAATAATTTAAACTTTGGAGGCTTTTAGTGCAACTTTGCATAGAGATAAGTTATATCGTCATGTTTTAGTCAAAGGTATAATATTTGTGGCATGGCACTCCGTTGAAACGTTCTTTCTGGACACCTCAATAAATTTAATTTTACTATATGTATAAACAAACAAAAGGCATAAGAGAAAAGTCAAATAATAATTATTTTACCTAATTAATATGAATTTAAGGACGGACGACAATTACCCCTAGTGGCCAGCCATAACCGTCCGGGGTGGGTCGAGACTGTTTTGCGGGTTTTATTTTTGGTGGTAAATTATTTTTATAATTGCTATGATAGTTACTTTAGGACCTTCTGTTCCTTAAGATAATATTTTTAGTATAAATTAACATGCCATTCACTCGTGTTAATTTTCAGGAAAGGTAAAAAAGAATGTCTCGATCCGTAAGATGGGCCCTATGACTGGGTTCCTATAATTACTTGAAAATTACAATCATCACTACTAGGCCATCATCAATCGTTATATAGATTTAAGTACAAGTAAATGAAGTTCTTTGACTTGACTTTCTAGGTAATTGGTCCTAATATTAAATTAACTTTGAATACCTTTGTAAAAACATTATCGTATTTGCTCGAAAAGAAGCAAACCTCTTGGGTAGAAAATTTTCCCAGTCTTGGCATTTACAATATATTTACAAGAAATGTAAGTTATTCTTTTTAAGTAAGTTTAAAAAGTATTTGCCACACTACACTTATCATGTTTCAATAATAAAAACAATATTGCTTGACAAATATGTTTTGGATTTCAATTCAATTTAACTGTTTAGATGTATGTGTGGATGTATGTATGTTTAAATGTGTTCTTCGGAATGACTGCGAGATCCATCGCTGTACATAGCCTTGACTTTTTTAATTTAAAACTTTTTTAATTCTGCGTGAACGGAGTCTCAGGCGACAGCTAGTGTAAAACAATAAAATAACGATATTAAATATTTTGACTTATATTTGCTTCCCGAATTTTCGAATTTTTTATTATACTAGTAAAGAAATATAAAGATAAAAATAAATGTTTTGGTTTTCTGAATTTGTTTTTTTTTTATTTTATTTTACTGTTATACATGCGTCACGCACATTATACCCAGTGTTGTGTATTGGAAGATCAGTTTGACAACTGAAGTTATGAAATTTTCGAATTAATTTTGTATGAAGATTAATGTTGTATTTAACGAACGCGTTCGTCTAGTGCTGGACCGTGTACGAGCTAAACAAAGAACTATGAACTATAGAATTGTTCTTGTAATAAAATTAATCGAGGTACTAAGTACTATAATTTAGGTATTACCACTTTTTGAATTTAATAGTTACTTGTCTGTGTACCGCATATATAATATACAAAAAAAACATTAAATACATTTCTTTTTTGTTTGTCAACATCTCAATTTTTGGTTTAATGTATTATTTCTTCAATTGCAGCAATTTTAATTATATTGTAATACAAAACTTATGAGAACAATAATCGAAAATCTTCATAACAAATTTTACTTCTCATCTTTAGTGAATTGTCAAACCAATCATCCCTAAATATACCTACCAACTAGAGATTTTTCGAAAATAAGCACACTTAAACGTCAAAATGAAAAAAAAAAACTATGTCTAGAAGTAAGATGAGTCTAGCTATAGGTATATCTATGCACTAACGTAAAGTATTTTTTCATAAATTACAAAATAAAATGTTCTTATTATAATGAGCTTCAATGTTCATTAAGATGTTTATACTTTTAAGCTGGATTTTTGCGCAATTTTAGGATTCGATAAAACATTAAAATCAATAATTTAGCGTCAGAGAGGTGCGGTGCGGTGTCCTCTCCCCGCGGGCCTCATTCCGCCACGCCCAGCGCGCGCATTCTCCAACAACAAAATCTACACGAAATGGTCGCTCAAAGAAACGAGTCGGGCGGGCGACGCTCGCGCCCCGCTCGCCTCGGCGCAGTCACGCACAGCAGCTCCCCACTAGACAGTCGTGCTTGTGTAGCGATCTCAATAGCCTGTGAACTGTACGCACGGCGTACACGTGCCTTCGCGCGCTCGCGTCCCGGATCCCATCCCTTCTCCACGCGCGGCCGCTCTTAGATAAGACATCTAACCCGACCCACCCCAGCCTGTGTGCCGGTACTTCTGTCGTACTCGCTGTCGCCGCACATTCTGTTATGTAACACGAAAACAAACACCGCGCCTGTTGTAGCGAGCACGTGTGCGCACCGACTATCGTACGCCCGTTCGCACTAACATCCACGCCGTCGTTAACGCCACGCCACTACACTCCACTCTATTCTATATCTATATACTTACCTTTAGGTTTCTTGCAAACTTCTCACATAGTTTGTGTCTAGTGTTACCTCGTGCCCTTTTTAATTAGGTGTGACAGTGCCATTATTACAGTTTTACGTTAATATTTGAATTTTGTGAATATGTCAAACTCCCTGGACCAACAATTTGGCAATCTAAGCCTGTCTCAGGAGGATCACGACCAAATGTTTGAACCAGAGGACCATCAGGATCAAAGGTTAGTTACAAATATAGTAGTAATTTTAATTAAACTTTATAATAGCTAATCATACCAAATTTTCATAAATTAATTGGTCATAAAACTATTTACAGGGTAATAATTTATTTAGAGGAAACGATAAAATAAAATTTCTTCTTTCTCATAGTATGTTCACACTAATAACATTGTAATAGAAAATAGTCTAATTTACATTAATGCCCCGTCCACTTTAGGCCAGTCGCGCTCAAAATCGGCGCTGACGTACAACTGGCCTAATGTGCCACCCACTGAAGCCAATAAGTCAGTCTGACCGATAACTGGGATGTGGCGATCTACCCTGTCCACTCCAGGCCATTTCAATATGTCAATTGCGCTCGAAATCGGCACGGACATACAACTGGATTAATGTGGACATTCACGAAAGCCAGTCTGCCTGATAACTGGGATGGCGTTCTACTTTTCAGTTTAGCCATTCCGCCGCAACTGGCAATAATGTAGACGTTTTAGGACGGACCACTCCATTTCTGACTGAACAATTGTGTAGGTAACCATACGTTGTTATTTTATCTGGACTGTTTAATCCGTTAGTGACTATCATCTTTTTTTGTATAAACACGTATTATGTTTAGACTGTGGCGAAATCTAATGGAAAAATTTATACCTATATCTTCTAATATCTTTTATTTACTGGTAAATCGCAGTCTATCTAACATTGTCCCTGCAGTATTTACTAAGCCACGTCTTCGACTGGGCATAATGTGGCCATGAAATTAAGTCCGCAATACATATTAGCCGTGGCTTGCCTAGTAGAAACGTGTTCCAACGTATAGATAGTACATTTGCGTTTCTTGTTATAAGACTAGTTCGTCAACGTCCATCCCTAGTTTCTATTTGTATGAAGTAGTCCTGTGGTATTCCGTAACATGGGACTATACATACTGCATCTGAGATCTCGAATATTCGCAATCGCATGGAACCTTTAGCCCCAGAGGTCGTAACTACCAGTTGAAGAAACAACTTCGCGCCGCTTGTCGGTAAACTGCGAACTTCAAAGGTAATTTTGCACCACGATTTTTCATTTGGTTGTCTACTCATACATTTTATGCGAGTGTGACATGCCCGCTTTCAAAGATTGTAATAAAATAGACTGTGACGAAGAGTACATTTTATTAGCTTTTACTTTTTTGTTTAAAAATGTATTAGTTGCCGCTACTATGATGAAGCGGGACCACCTGTTCGTATTTGTTATGAAAATTGTTTTAAATTGAAAATAAATTTTCGATAAAAGAAAATTTGCCGAAAATTTGTTCGAATTCTTTTTCTTAATGAGATTAATCAAAAAAAGTGTCCAAACTCTTTAAACGTAATTTGAATCGGTTCCGAAACACTTTGTTATTCATATATACTAAACTTTAATTACCATGAAGTATTTACTATACACATGAATACCGAATGTCCCCGACCAAAATGCCGGGACGCCAAATTGTCCCGGTCACATCGTTGGTGAACCCATCTAAGAAAACCCAGTTCAAATTTCAGTTCTTATGGCGAATATAAAAAGTGCTAAGTTTCAAACTTGTTTAAAATCACCACCAGCTACTATTCATAGGTACTCAGCTTAAAGCAAAGCCTGATCTGGTAATAAACGTTTCGCCTATATGTATTTCTTAATTTTAACTTAAGCTTACTGTTTTTATTTGAAGAAAGAACTTAACAAATAATGTTTTATTTTTCATTGACTACATGTTAATAACCTAAAAAAAAACAGTTTGCCTGTTTTAAATCGAAAAATAAATGGTCAAGTAAGGTAATAAGACCAGATTAGTATAATGTTGAGGTTTCCAAGACTATAAAAAGAGCTGCTCTTTAACAAGAAACAGAGCCCTTAAAGAAAAGGTAATGTAGATTAACGTTGTCTTCGTTTTTACAGTTTGGCGGGGAAACCGTCTACGACCCCTCACTAACTGGTATTTTTCTATGAACGGTGCGGTTAGTGGCTAAGTGGAAAGTGTGTACAGGGGGCACCGCGGGGCGGGGGGGCACCACGCGTGTTTGTACATGAGTAGAGCTTGTAATTATAGGTCGATGCACTGGGCCGGGGCTCTGGCCGCCGCGCTGCGCCGCCCGTGTTGCGTTCTCCGCGATAAGATTTCGCACTTTCGAACTCTCCAGGGAAAGTTTTCTCAGCAACGCAAATGTCTATAAAAATAAATTCAATATTGGCGTCAATAGTGTTCACTGATCGGTTGTGATGAAATTGGTAGAGCGAACGCCGTACAGAACACAAATATTAATGTCGGCATAAGTTGAATTTTAGATCAGTACAGGCATAGCGACTAGACGAATGACGCGTTTTTACAAAAGTTAACTAATAAAGATTTGGTCCATCATTTAGAAAAACAGTGTTTCTCATTCAGTCACACAATCCGGCAGCGAGCGACTGATATTGAGAATTTACATCGCCTTGGGTACGCGTCGCAGTGTAGGCATTTTCTGGACTGTTATATACATTATCTTCTGATGTTTTTTAGTATATTTTTTTCCTTGAGTCTGCTTTGTATGACTAAATATATGTCTCTTAACGTAAAATTTACTGAATATACATGCTTACGGGGATGTTAGAAATATTTCCCTGAAAATTTGTATGGAAACTGAATTAAAATCAGCGATAACTCAGTTATCGGTGGATTGCCCCTTATTTCCTTATAGGTGATGTTTTTACAATGTATTTGGATTTTTTGGCATACTGCGTATCACGGCCACTGGTGCGATTTTTAAGTTTTTTTAAGGTCAAAGGTCATAAATTTTTTTTTCCGTATTTCAGCAAAATGGTGAGTTTTGTCATAAATTTACCCGAGACAAAATTGTAGGTTATAAAATACCCTATTACAAACTCGCATATATCTTTTTTTCATATATTCCACCGTTTTTGAGATATAACGTTTTAAACAGTTAATTTACATGGACAAATAGACTCGACTTATATATCAATATCATTATATCATCGTACAGCCCAAACCAATAGACCCTAAAGGTTTGAAATTTCGCATAGATGCTTTGATGATGAAAAATATGACTTTTTTGGTGTATGAACTGTTATATAATAACTCGGAAACGGCGGCACTTACAAAAATGTAAGGGTTTTTGTAATAGGGAATTTTATAATCTACTATTTTGTCTTAGGCCACTTTTTGACAAAACTTACTATTTTGCTGAAATAAGCGAAAAACTCATTTTATGACCTTAGAAAAAAACCTAAAAATCGCACCAGTGGCCGTGATATACAGTATGCCAAAAATTCCAAATACATCTTTAAAACATCACCCATAAGGAAATAATCCAGGGCAATCCAGCGATAGCTGAGTTTTCGCTGATTTTAATGTCGCCTCCATACAAATTTTCAGGGAAATATTCCTAACAGCGCCGTAAGCATTGATATTCATTAAATTTAACGTTATTAGACATGTATTTAGTCATACGAAACGGATTAAAGCCAAAAAAACGTACTAAATAATATCGGAGGAAAATATCTGGAAGCCAAAATTTTTGCACAGTGTGCGTCGCCAACATTTTGTCCAGTAAAAATACCTTTGATAAGTCAAGTCCCGGGAACCTTTTCTTTTTCGGGAAAAAAAATCAAGTCAATTAGTTACTATAATGGTAGGTAACTTGAATATTAAATTAGACGATTTATCACGCAGTCAGTTGTAACATCGATTTATTATATGCCTTAATTATGTATTATCTTTTCACTGTCTACAAAATTTCGATGTATAAGTTCGTGTTATCATTTGTTTGAGCACTGCTACATGTCTATGTAGTTTCAAATTGATTTTCACAATTTATATTTCACTAGCTCACGCCCACGGTTCTGTTCGCTCGGGAATAAAAAAAGGCTATATTTGTACATCCATGCCAAATTTCATTTTAATCCTTATAAAACGATATGTTGGTATAATGATAGATAAGTTACTATAACAATATAATGTTTCAAATGTCTATGACGTCTATTCGCGGCAATGATAGCGTTTTTAATGAACCTTGACCCTTCGCGGACTCTGGCGCGGCGGCGCGTTACATAAACAGAAAGGTGAATAAACTCTTAAATTTGATAGCTCCAGTCGAATCATTTGTTTAAATATTTATTATACTCAACACTATTATTGTACTTTGTCGTAGTCTTCGTTGACATTATAAAATACTAGCTCGCAAATTGTAATGTCATTTTTTTTTATCATAAACAACCTAAAAATGACGATTATTCCATACAATTTCAACCCGCACTACCAACCCTATTTCGTTTTAAAAGAGTAACCTACGTCTTTACTCAGGCTCTATGTTTGTACCAAATTACATTTAAGTCAGAAGTTTTGGCGAGACAGAGAATGCAGCAGTTGCCGGTAGTTGGGTGGAAATTTTACGCTTGCATCGTGAGTGGCGCAAAGAGAAACCTGTTGGCAGCAGACAATGTGAGAGGATGACGAGTGGTCGCCGCACCGCACCGCGTCTTGTCGTATCGCGTCGCTTTTTGGCGTACTGTATGCACATCGGGTCACGCGCGCGCGCGGGCACGCGCTTGCGCTTGCGCTTGGGGCAAGGTGCGCCGCGCCGTCAGTGAATAATAATAGGTCTGTTATTAATACACGCGGCAACAGTTCGAAATTAAGTCTACTCTTTTTGTGCACCTTGCGTCGTTGCACCGCTACCGCTCTTCGTCTGCAACGCCAATTTTGACGTAAGCTCGTAACGAAACCTGCAAATAAAATAGTCTGTGGTTACGCCGCGTCACGAAGAGCTTAAACGCAGAGACGCCAGGTGCTTTCGTTAACGTCGTATAAGTATGTCGTTGTAATGTTGTAAAGCAATAAAATGTTTAATGACGATTTGCACATTTTCCAGGTAAAATGGTGATTGTCTGGAGAATTGACTAATCAAAAAAAACATGTTAATTATATATTTATAAATAATTAATTATATATTAATTAAAAATGTTGTACATATATTAAAGTTTACCTAAGATTCCAGTGGTATTAAAAAAATCAAATCTGGTTTTTATAATTTCTTATAATAACAATTGTAAATGTGAAGAATGACGTCACCCGGAATTTATAAGTAACTGTGCTGTCCATTGTGCTTAAATATGCGAAAAACTAATTTTTCGCATATTTCACCTTCCACCTTCGAACTTTGGTTATCAAAATATAAATCGCCCCAGTGCCTGTGATGTGCAGTAGTCAAAATTTTCCTTATTCCTTAACGCTTAATACGATCATCACTTTCATTAGGCCATCATAAGCCGCTCGTATTGTACCGGCAGTGGTTTCCGAATTAACCCCGTATTTGACTTGCTGTTAGAAGAATAAGAACCTGTGATACTGCAGGTTTATCTTGGTTATTCCTCCAACTATGGCAATGTGGCACCAATCAAGATTCGAACTATTGAACATCTCATTGAAAATTCTAATATCACGGAGGCCCCTGAGTGATGAAGATGAAACTCCAATCTCAAACCCCCAGGCATTGTCAGCAGTGAATGATTTAAGACACAATGTACCATCTTTAAATAAAGCCTGACCCAAAATTGACAAATCAAAAGAAAAAGATACCCATACAATTACTTTTATTTACTTTAGATAATTTTTTATCCTATTATTTATTTGCCGTCGTTGATATAATAGATTTATTGCGACGTTAACATTTTAGCGAATTTTTGGCGTCCTCGCAAAGTTTTATGATGCCTTAAGCACATCTTTCGTATATTAAACACCAAGTTTAAATGGTGACAACCCAAGCAATAATCTTATCTTGATAGTTTGTTGTAGCTGTAGCATAATATAATTCGAGTATGTAGTGTTGTCGGTATGATGTAGTGGCGTTGAAGCTGCTATATAGAAAAGTCATGGAAATGGACGCGCAGAGCAATTAGAAGCGAGCAGAGTTTGTGGATTGTTTTTATCAGAGCGCGAACCGATGCGGCAGCGAGGGCGTTCGCGTTGGCGGCAGGCAGCGCGGGCGCGGGCGCGGTGCGGCGCGGCGAAGCCCGCTCGACATTGCCCCCGCGCGGCGCCCGCACTGGCCCAAGCTCGCGCCGTACTGCTCACCGCTTCAGTCAAACGACGCTCGCGCTGGCGGCATATCGTCGCGTACACGCTAGCCCCGAGCCCCCCCCCCCCCCCCCC